CAATAAAGAGATGAGCAATACCTGAAATGTATTAAATACAGCTAACAAAGACCATCTTAAATGTACAGATACATAAATGAATAATAATAATAATAATTGGTATGTTGACAGTTCCACGGCGCCCAACAGCTCACTGGCTGGTGTCTTCACCACATCTGCACCAACTACAACAGTGTCTGTCGCAAGTTTCCCCGAGAGATGAAGTCCAAGTCTACAGGTAACATGCATATAATCTGGCAACACACATTTAGATTACATTTTGACCCTCAGGTCTACTTATATATGAGTTTTTATGTTCAAAAATATTTGTATAAATGTATCCTCTGTAATGCCTTTCTAGCTAAATTGTTGTTGTTGTTGTAAGATGTATGCAAATATCAATAAGATCTGTTTTGTATGTGCTGCAATTAGTTTTCTTGACAATGTTGGACTAACCATTGTGGTAAATGGGATATTGAAAATTGACAATTGAAATATCTAGATATCTTTTTGAGATTCCTAAGACAGTGTATTCTGATGCAGACAACCAAGAATATTTTGAGAAACATCGCTGGCCACCAGTGTGGTTCCTGAAAGAGGACGACCACTACCAAAGAGCCCGCAAAGAGCGCGACAAGGAGGACTACCTGTACCAGAGACGGCAGTGTAAACGCAAGTGGCTCTTCTGGAACGTTCCTTCCTCTCCTAACTCACACTCTCCTTCTTCTGGCTCCTCCGCTGTCATCTGACCACGTGGGTAAGGCCAGGTCCACTCTGAATTACATCAGTGTGGATGCGGGTTGTAAAAGTATTAATAGAAGATAAGCACTGCTGGCTAGCTACGCCCCAATTATTCAGGCACTCAGTCTCTCCTCCCGTTTGTTTGCTGCTGCAGTCAAACAGCACTCCTCCCGATCTGCAAGGTCAGCCCAATCTAGCGGTGAAAGTAATGAGTTTTGTTCCTTTAGATTTTTAGACTCGGTGATATGAATCTCGTTGACAAATGGCACAGTGTAACTGGCGTAAATAACAACTCATACTGACTGTTACACCACCTGAGATTTACGTTTGAAAACAGGACTCTGGTGGCACAGAACTTTCCACAGATGTTCATAACCATCATCAACCAACCTGAACTGATAACTAAGTGCTGCTTATCAGCTGCAACAACCAGCAAACCAACACAGAACTCCTCCGTCTCAGAGATATAACACTTTGCCCTTAAGTGTTTTTACAATCTACCAAACTATGTGTAAAGTATGATCTTATCAACAGGATGTAAGGATAGTATGGTCTGACAGGAATTAATTATTGAAGTCATTCACTCTAACCATGCTGATTATGACCGTGTAAGCATAAAGGAAAAATACTGGCAAGCTGCTCCTGTTTATTTGTGTACAGTCATTGTATCTGATTTTTGTGCACAGCTTGCACAGCTTAAAATGCGGTGAATATAGATCAGCACGTATTGTGATCTTGGGATTTGTGGCTTCTTGTCAAACAAAGAGGCTTTAGTTTACATGAATGATTCAGTGTCCTGAGACACAAGAGATCCCGAATCAAGCAAGCATACTGTAGGTCATTTCTGTAAAATACCAGCAATTACAGACCAGGTCGCTATTATTTCCTATGCTTGCTGCTGCTTTCTAGCACACATTTCCTCGGTTTCACATTGAATGATTCCATCAGCTTGATCACTGTCATACTGGAAAGCAACACATAATGCATCTCTGGGCTAATGGCAGCATTTCCGGAGCTGAAAACACCGCATGTTCATCGTGTACACCATTCCTCTGTGATGGTGTGTATGACATGTCACTGCTGGTGATTTGGCTTTTGGAGATTTCCTTTCTTAGTGGATCAGAGGATGCCCGCTGAATGCCTGCAGTTGGCTGTGTAAGACTTGTGCATGCAGGAGGCTTCCTCATGTCATGGTGCAGTAATCCATACTCTTCTGCACACCCCAAGCACTTTGTCCGACTCTTCTCCACAGAGACGCACACAAGAACCTCCAGTGGCAGCATCCTGGTGAACGGCACCTAAAGACAGTATGGTGACATGACACACTGCTGCAAATTTAAAAAAGGGAACTTGGGAGGATACCAAACCATGATATTTAAAATGTTTTAAAAAAGAGGTTGTGAAGAGTTTGAAAACAAATCATGTTTGTTGACCTGCTTGGCACACCTCACAGTATGTGTTCAAGATTGTCATCTACTGTTGATTACACCTGATTGTAGGATGGTCTGCAGTGTTAAGCATAGTGCTCAGTGATGAGTAGTATTGTAAATTGTACAACATATTAGACCAACTGCAAGTAACTTGCATAACTCAAATGTGCTGTTATTTAATATTGTGCACTGCAGGCAGTGAGCAGAATTGTACAGTATTACTGAGTTATACATATACTAAATATAGACTTGACTTGCATTCAGTTACTGCGCAGCTACAAACGGTTGCTGAAAAATAAGTGGATTCCCATTGTGCTGACTTCCTGATACATCTGTTATATAATATTACAGGCAGTTTAAATGACTTATAGTAAACTAGGATTACAGTGAAAAATAAAGTAGAACAAATGTATAATATAAAGACTTACGGCACATCCATAAAACATGCCATTTTTATTAAAAAATAGTATATTCTGATGGCAGCATATATTAAAGAAAGGTTAGCTTTAATCCTGCATATGATTGGTTAGACTTCTCCATACAGTTTTTGACTATACCAAAATGTAGAGCCCAACAAAGAGTTTAAAAATGATTCAGTGTTATGAATCAATTCATAAAATATTTTTTATTTGTATTTCTTCCTAATAACTACACTGCATGAACAAGGCTCGCCAAAATAGATGAAGTTTATTCCTTGTCATTTAAAGTGTAAGATATAGAGTAGTGGTGTTAGTGCTCTAAGCAGTAGCTTTAAATTGTTCTCAATTACATGAACTGTTGTTTATAGCTAATTAAAGATAAGAGCTGTCATTTTAAACATCTGGATTGATTAAATATTTTGGCACACATGGTCAGAGATTAGAGTGAAGGGTGAACTTAATTTAGAGCCAGCTTTCCAATTAAGAATGTTTTAATTGTCTTATGATAAAAATGTCACACAAAATACACTTTATTTTTATAGTTTAACAGCAGGAGGGTCTATATATTGTTATAATTTGCTGCTGTAAGTGATACATTTCATAAACATGCATTTCATTCCTCAGTGCATTGCATTTCTTAATGAGTCTTCTGCTGATGTTTAGCATCAACGACACCTCATGCCTTAATGTACAGTGTAGTGTATGGTATTGAATGTAAAGTAGTGTTACTTTGAGAGTGTTACTTTGTCCTCTGTGTTCAGTTACCAGGGTGCTCTCTAGGTTGTGTGTGTGTACCTGTAAATGTACATAATCCATAATTTGGATGTAAAAGGAATCGATGTACGATCAATTCGATGAGTGTGCTTTACTTTGAACACTGCGGAGGGTTTATGTCCTTTTTTAAACACAAAACTAATTTAACACTCTGACCATGAAGGCAACACTAGACTGACATAATGACAAACCATTAATTTGTGACATTACCCATGAAATGTTTGCAGGGATTTCCAATCTGTTACATTATTTTAACTTTGCTTTATGCTAATGATCTCCAACTTTGGGGTCTGCATAATTACAAACTGCTTGGACAGGGTGGTCATTGGAAATTAGATTGTCACTCAAACATGTAAATAGCAAATGTGTGATGACTTGCAATTCAACTTTGGCCTAGCAATTGATATAAGCTATTGCTTAGTTTAACATATAATGTTTTTTGTACTATGCATACTGAAATGACTTTGAAATTACAAACTTGCACTGCTTTGTAGCACCAGGTTCTACTCAAATTGCATTAGATGGTATAGCAACATCATTATTAGATATGTAGACAACATCAGGTAAAAAAAATTAGATCGTAAATTACAAAGAAGTTGTCACTGGGGTCCTTTTCCATGTTTGGGTGCTAATTTCACCGCTGCAAAGAAGCACAAACCAAAGGGAGCTTTAGCAGCACCAGGAATATATTAAATATGCTGCACAATCACTACTGCATAGTTTAAGAGGCCTTGTTCAGAAATGGTTGAAAATTAAATAAAAAAACATACGATAAATCAAAAGAAAAAAACTTGAATGTTTTCTCAGTGTTCAAAGCCTGGATGACGTTTTCCTTAGTCGTCAGGTATCTTTGTTCTCAAGAGCTGTTTTTATTGTTTAGAAGCTGTAAATCTGAGATTCTGTAGCATGTGTTCTTGAAAATGTGTAAATAATATTTACTAAATAAAAAGAAGCAACGTGTGCATTTGTGTCAGTCTTTTTAAAAGCCCTTTCAGCAGTGGTGTAAAAAACAAAGGAGATTTACTCAAGTACTGTACTTAAGTACATTTTGAGTACTTGTACTTTACTTAAGTATTTACATTTTTGCTAGTTTGTACTTCTAGTCTACTACAATTCAGAGCTAAATAGTGTACTATTTTTTCTCCACTACATTTATAAATACCTTTAGTTATTTCACATATTTGGATAAATAATGTGAGACATAATCAACACTTAAATAACACTTTAGTTACACCTGGAGTAACACTTTAATGCATCAATAATTATAATCAAAACATGTAATATACTTTTCTAAAATGAACTAATCTGCATAATGAGTACTTTTTTTTTGTACTGTTATTTGAGTAACTATGATTGCAGGACTTTTACTTCTGACAGAGTATTCCTACACTCTGGTACGTCGTCTACTTTTACTTAAAAGTAGGGTAGGTAAGAATGGAGTAACCAGCTCGAGTGCGCTAGAATTTGAAAGTACGCAGCCGAAAAAAATCTGCCCCTTCCTTCAGACTTCCTTACAGAGCCCCTCCTCCAACACACACGAACGCGCACATGACCAATGAGGGCACGAGATAAATTTGTGCACGAGATGGAAGGCTGACAGGCAGGTAGGCCATCCAGTTATTTTAGCCGGGCCGGCTCAGATGATTGGTCGTGCTTTTTACAGTACTACGGCTTCCACATGATGAATGTATGTATTTTATGTATATATTGTCAAAGCATTTCATGTATTCATTGCTATCGGGATGTTAAGAGCATTCCATGGAATATAACAAAAAGTGTTTCTGAAGTTAATTACCTACCCTACCTTTAAGAACAAGATCTGAGTACTTCCTTAATCTCTTTTAGCTGTGTCATATGAAACTTGTGCAGCCTCACAGACGCAGCTGCGCATGAACCAGAGGAAGACACCTGCAGAAAACACAAGTGGACAACTCCTGAGAAATGGTAATGTTCACAACAAATTCATATAGCTGAACTATGAAAACTGCAAGACTGAATATATTTAATGTCTGCTCGCTGTCTTAACGACGTGCACTTCCTAAATTGCACCATCTGTACAGTATGTCGACGTGTAAAGCGCGTGACACTAAATACATATAAACAAGCTAAAACAAGTGCAGGCTAACTTTAAGCTAATGTGCTACTTCTAAAAATGTCTTCCCAAGTTAAATGAGAGCGTGGTGTCTTATCAGTGCAACCATAGATAAGTCAGTTAAAAATACCATGTAGTCAAGCGTTGCCAAAAACCGAATGTTCGCATTAGCAGCACAATGCATTATTTGTTGCAGTGTGCTGCGTTTCTCCTTAATTTAAAGTAAAATAGGAACTCGTGACACACATTTACATATGGTAATTTAGCAGTGCATTGTCTAATTGGCTCCATTTCTGTTAAGTAAACCAGGATTCCTCTCATCACGTTTGCTGCAGCTGTCGTCTAGACTTCATTTGTCTGTGGTTCAGACTCCAGTCAGTCACGTTTAGGCAGGGACAGGTGTGTAAATAAGACACTGCACACTAGGTGTAATACAGTTTATCATTTATATTTAAGCTATATATTGTTCGACAAAAGATACAGCTTCTCAAATGTCTCTTTGACATACTGTATATGAAATTATACTCAAGTGCACATATTATTTATTAGATTGAACAGACTAATCAACATCAACACATTTTGGAAAATATACTAAACATTTGTCACTTAATTAACAAAGTAATTAACAAGATGGTTGATAAATAGGATAAATTGTAACAATTTATACGTAAGATTTAGGGACTAGTCGAACAGGTTAAGTGTGTAAATAAGCTAACTGGCCAAGACTGCAAAATAGGTGAAATGTAGTTTGTATAATTCATATAGGATTTAAAGGTCCCATGTCATGCTTTTCCGGTTATTACCCGTCCCCTTTTGTGTTATGTAGCTTTTTCTGCATGTAAACGGTCTGCAAAGTCACAAACCCTCAAAGTACACCCTGTAGCGATGTCTCGCTGTCTCGAAATGACACCAGTAACCCAGCTCACACTGTCCGCTCCTCACAGCAGCGAGCCGCGCGACGTCCCGCCAACACGGCACCCAGACCCCACGCAGCATTCTCATCTGTTTGTCATTACTGGTGTCATTTTCTGGTTGCTAACAAACGCCATTGTAACACATAATCACTGATGTTCCGCTGTAACGGTGGTGGACTCATCAGAACAGAGTGGGCGAGCTGACCAATCACAGCACAGTGGGCTCACAGGGAGGGGGGGAGCAGGAGCTCCAACAAGCCTTGCAGGACAGAGAGTGAATACACATACTATACAGAGATGCTGTATGAGAAACCAATGTCATTTTGGAACATTGAACAATGTAAATCTATTCTAGTATACCTCAACAATGGAATTATGATCAGTAGAAATGGCCATGACATGGGACCTTTAAGACAGAAATGTGCAGCACTATGTCCTAGTAAGTCCAGTTCTTAAATAGTAAGTGTCGTTGCTTTTGTTTTACATATATGATATTATATCAAAATCATTTTGTTGTCGGATAGAAATACATACCACATTTAAAGAACGCATATTTTTCCCTGGGAAATATTTTAGGGAATTTTGTTTGACTATTTAGACATATAGACTCAACAGATGCTTAATCAAAGCTGTACGTAAGAAGAATTTCAGTCAAAGTTATTATCCTCCATTGAAAATACATATTTTTTATTTAACCTAATGTTCAAGAACTGTACTGTTTGAAAGATGCATGACATGTTACTCATTCAATATAAATGACAAGTTGTAATACATTCTTCACAAGCTGTCAGTGTGGACAGGCCTCCTTTAACCTTGAGTGACAGGTCGCTTTGTTTCAGTCCGACTATATTTTACAGTACTATTAGAATCTAGCATATTTCAACAAGAACAAGCAAAACTAATTTGGCTGTTGAGTAATTACTCCTGGTCTAACTGAGCACCGCTGTCATGCAGGCTGTGCCGGCGCCGTTTCTGCTTTTCTGCGCCTCTGTTTTGGGGTTTTACCACATGGGAGCAACACCTGACACCCTAAGCTCTCTGGATTCTTCTTTCTGTCAGTAAGTATCCCATAATTCACGAGAAAGCTGTCATCTTACAGTGTAAATGCAATCAGAGGTAAACCTATCATTACATTTAAAACGACAATGACAGAAGTATTTGAACTTCTTAACCACGTATAGGTGGAGTCTGCGATTATAAGCCAATACAGTTTTTTGTTTGTTTTGATATTTCCTCACTCTGCAGACTCCAACCTATAACCACCTTTATTTCAAATGGCAGCATCTGTACCTTTCAGGATGTTAGTCCACTTAGCCCTCAATACAGAATGTAATCCAAAACAATGTAGACTAAGATGAACTTTGTATCTCTTTTCAATAAAGTGGTGGATTAGAGGTCATCTATCCACAACTGCAGATTGACAATTGCCTGGTAATTCCAAAGGACCTGAGAGAAAAAGTTGGCACAGTTTGGAAAGCGCCATGATTTACTTCCCTGGAGTACACAAGGTAAGAGATGGATGTGTGTTTAAAAATATAAGATTTCCCAACTTTTTGTTATTAAATAGTAGACCGAACTGAACCAGAACCAACAAATTATACAAATTCCAAAATGATCCGGACGTCTTTGATACTGTAGCCCTGCACAGCAGATTTTAGTCAGTTTTTATGATAAATCCTCATCTTTATGCGTCTGATTATCATCCCCTTGTTTATTTTTAAACATACTCCTCAAACCTCAGACAAGAGTTTGTATTCCATTTTGTGTTGGATTTTCAGTGTAATTTTTTCCCCGTTGTGTAGTCTTTTATATGGCAAACGTGCATGTGCTTATTTTTAACACTAGAGTGCAGTAATACATAAAACAAGCTGCATCTAAACCTCAACAGATCATAACTTATTGGCACAAGGAACAAAAGGTTCAGAGCATTTAGAAAAAGTATAAACATTAAATAGATTTTCAGCAATATTTTAAATATCAGCTCAAGTTATGAGTCTATGCTTCTATATTCTATACCTTAAATCACATGTGTCAAACTCAAGGCCCGGGGGCCAAATCAGGCCCTTGGTGGATTTAATTTCTAATTACTATTAGATCTGGCCCGCCGGTATATTGCACGCACACCTTCACTCAATCCTGAGGATTTCCTCAGCTCAGACCCTGACCCCAAACATTGATGAACTTGCACCCAAGATGAGATGCCAAGTATCTGGCTTGAACTAGCATCACAGAGCAAACTGAGTTTACATGGATGTTTCCTTCTGCACTTTGTTTCTTGCGACAACAGGGCATGTTTGGTTTGTTCTTTGAGGGAAATAGTTTTTTTGAAGCTGTTGTTGGCCTGTGGAAAAATGTAATCATAAGAAATGACTCTGCAGATAGAGCCATAAGAAATTAATGCAACTGATTATTTAATGTTTAATGTTGTTTTTATTGGCAATCATTTAAGCTTTGTTAGTTCCCGGTTTAATATGTGCAATAAGTTAATTTCAATAAGTTCTGCAATAAACATTGAACCAGTCCGGCCCTCGACTAGTACCGATTTTTTAAATTTTGGCCCACTGTGTATTTGAGTTTGACACCCCTGCCTTAAATTATCTGCATTATCTTATGTAGCTCTATTACTGACACACATGTGAACGTTTCCACCACAGGGGGGTGCTAGCACATCATACTTGCAGCCCTTTAAGAAGCAACTGTGATAAACGAAGCTCCAGTTTATACAATTTAGAAAATCAGATAACATCAATTATAAAGTAAAAAACGATTTCAGCTAAGTTTTTTATTTACTGATTTTGAATTATAACTATTGTAATGACTCTTTCAAACAAGTAAAGCTACAGGCAAACCATCTGCATCCTTAGGAGTCAAAACAGTTATTAATTTAATCAGAAAGCACAATAAGGTGTGTGTGCTTTAATAAACCAGTGTGTGAATTAATATTTCTTAGTGCTTACTCACGTTTAATGAAGTATCTCTTATTTATGTAGAAACTCAAACAATGACCCTTAAACAAAAATAGACTACTAATCATAATTATTAAACCATACCTTTTTATTTTTAAAGGTTTGGCTTTAAATGACAGCAATACAGTCAAACTACAGTTTGAGGTTTACATTCTGCGTTACGTTATTAGATTTAGATTAGACGCTCAGAGTGTGCAAAATATGATTTAAAAGAAATACATTGCAATGTCAGAATGATGTTTGCTGATGATGAGGACAAATGTATTTTCTTTCGAGAACAGAATGGCCTTTACATTACGAAAACTTGTATACCATGTCAACAGAGAAAAAAAACGTGTGGAAAATGGGTTTACAGTACATGTAGTAGGGCTTAAATAACATGTAGTATTCTCTTCTAAAAGTACTAAGTCTTTTTATGCCACATATCACATTTTCACCGAGATTTACTCACACGTATAGTTTTTCATACATGCATTTTTCTTTTAGTGCATCATGTTATTTTACGGTTGAGGGACAAATTGAGAGAGACACAGTTCCCAATCTGCAGACCCCCTGCTGAAGTTGACGATGAAATTGCATCAAGCGCACACCATATCCTCTCTCTGTAAATTGAAAACTTAAATTGAAAGCCACCTCGATTTAGGAGGTAGTTTATGAATTCCTCCAGCTAAGCACTCTAGCTTGAACATGATCTATTGCCCTTCTGTTGCCCAAACTCCATTTGATCTATGGTCGTATTATCTATAATGCTGTCTTACATGATTCTCTTTTATTGCCAGAATCAGTGTCAGACAGCAAAACAGATTACATGTTGGATTAAATCAATACAAACTTTATTTACTGGGCTTTGAAATGTAATTCTCCATTTCTCCTGACACTTATATAAGCGTGCACCGTTTGAAGGATCAGATTGTTGCCTCTGGTTCTGCGGTTGGTCTTCTGGTCCACCACGCTTTCTGTCCCCGTGCCACGCTGCCATCGCTGCTGCTATTCTCTGCCACTCAGCCCGTGTAGCTAGAATACAGAATAGTGGCCGCTCAGTTTCAAATCCACCCACTGCAACACCCACTTCATTACTGGGACGGGATGCATGCCTGCTGAGTAATTGTAATGGAGCGCAATGGGCAGTAATCCCATAAACCCGCCTCTAAATAGGTGTTCATAACCAAAAACAAAAGCAAAAGGCCACAGAAACTGCACATTACTGTGTTCAAACTTCAGAGCAGTGATTTGACACTCAAACTTATGTGTTAGCAAAACCTGGCATGTGTACTGGTGATGCATTTTTAGAAATACTATTTATACTTCAAAGCCTTCAAAACAAGTGGGACATCTATTGGCTAATGGCTACAGTTAGTATCATCAATATAAAGTAAGTGTAATAAGGATTGGAAACTAAGCAGACCTGAGAATATTATTTAATGGGAACATGTTAAGAAATGTTCGTAATAAGTTAAAGGTACAGATAGCGGAATGTGGCCACGTTTTAGAAGACCTATTTTTATGAATGAAATAACCTCTGACCTTTACAAAGAACAACAGAAGAACATATTATATCTGGTGATTAGTGTCTTTGTTTTACCGTTAGTCTGTAAATACACTTCTAGCTAAAGCTGTAACTGGACTATCACAAGACAAATATCTTCAATCACAACCTCGTGTCATTATACCGTAAATTGGGTTTCAGGGATCAGAAAATCGAATTGCTGTGAAACATGAAACCATTTTTTTCTGTGTTCGACCATAACAACTTTACTTTTGATTATCAATTGTTAAACTTGGCTGCTGGACAGAAAAGCTGTCGGGTGAAGCTTCACCTGCAGAAAATAATCAAAGAAATGAGGAAATTAAGAAAATCCAGAAATAACCAAAGAACTCTGAACTCCTGGAGAAAAGGATTAAAAAGCATGTTAGTTTTTTGGTCACACAGAAGCTCATCTAGGTGTGCTTCTGGCTCAACCAAAGAATGTTTAATTTAAGGATTCACCTATTTTTACTGATGTTTAAATTACAAATGTGGTTGAACGCCAAAACCCACCTATGTTTTTGTTTGTAATGTGTTTTGTGGCACCAAAACACCTTCATTTTAATACAATGAAGTGTTTTCAAGGGCTTCAGCATTTCATTACACCATTTCTAAGCTATTCAATTATACAACTTTAAGAAACAACCTTTCAAAAGAACAACAATCTGTTTAAAACAAAATAGGTGCTTCAAAAGCCTCTTGGCCTGCTATACAAAAGTAATCCACCTCTTTAACTAAAAGCAATGTCTATATATACAATCAACTAAATATTGACATTCTTGTTGTCGTGTGCATTATCATGTCTAATCCTCATCTGAGATCAGCGACGGTGTTTTTATTTTAACCCAGGCATGCTCGTCATTCCTCAATGTAGTTGTAAACAACACAGGCCACAGGAGCTATCTTTACCTCACAGTTACTCCAGAAGTGGAGGCAGTTCTGTAGTTGTTGTTGACTTATTTCTTTTTTAGTAAGGACCATAGCCACAGGGCGCATTCTTAGACATGGGGGATTTCAAAGCCTTGTTTTTGGGTAGACGTTTCTTGCATCTGGTGGATGGAATGAGGGTTTAAACCATTACTGCGATTAGAGCTGCCTCACTATGATCTCTTGAGCTTGCTTACTGCTGCTAATAGCTGTTTCCTCTCTATTTCCCTCTATCTTTTTCTCTTTCGCTTTCTCTCTCTCTGTGAATGATTTTTATGCTTTGCTAAAACATGTGGGGGCGTTGAGAGGATTTAAAATGCAACGATCCCCCTCCTCTTTTTTTTTTTTTTTTTTTTTTTTGGTGAATCTCAGCGTTCTTTTCTGCAAGCCTATGATGACGACAGGGCAGATTTAAGCCTGGCAGTGCCCACGGCAGGCTGCCGTCTCAGCGCTGCCCACTCTCCTCTGGGTTGGCATGCTGGAGAACGCGAGGGTGGGGTTCCTCTTTAGCAGACCCTGTCATTCCTAGGAAAGCCTACATGTCCACCCATGCAGGATTCCTGATAGGTCTTCATGTTGGGGATGTGAGAGTGCAAAGATAGGGATTTTTATTTCAGTAGGCGATAGACTCCATTCAAACGGATGTATATTTAGATGAACAGAGGAGACGCTTCCTTGAGCCTTTGACTGACAGTGAGGGTCAACAAGTGAAGCATGTTCTGTAATATCCATCTAATTGCATATTCAGTGTCATCAGGTGGGTGTTTATGGCTGCGCCGGATTAAATAAGCGTGTTTGGCCGAGAGTCAGGGAGTTTATTTCCTTAGCTAATGTTCCCCTTTGTCATTATAACACCCTGTTAAGCTGACCCGTGTCCCGCTCCATTCAGTCGTTGCCCATTGCTACACAACATATGTGATTCATGCAAGCTTCCTGAAGAGGGAAGAATTACAACCCTTCTGCTACCAGGAGCTGGATTGATTATGCATATTCAGTGGAATGAAGAGAGGCAATAAACCTAAATGATTATTCTTCTGTGTGGAAAAGGCTAAGCCACCTTTCCACACAGAAGAATAATCATTTGCACTCT